ACACACACACGCACACACACACACACACACAGACAGACATCATTTAAACGCACATGTGTGTGCTCGTGCATTCTGGGTATAGTGGCAGACTTGATGGATTAGGATTAGAACTCCAACTGAGCAATTTAAGCGGTGTGTTTGTGTGCGTTTGTGTGTGTGTGTGGAACGTGACGACACACACACCCGCACACATACGGAGGCCTAAGTGAGTCACAGAAGCTGCGCACCCTGCAGGGGCCACCCGAGCAGATTGAGAGACAAAATGAAAGAAGTTGATCGAGACAAAAGTAGAGAGTAAGTAAGGGGACCCCAGGGAAGAAAAGAGGCTTTTGTCTAAAGGAGTATGAACAGTGATTGAAAATCATCGTGTTGGAGGGAAGAACGGATGGAGCAGAGGCAGAGGAGAGGAAGATAAAGAGCTGGGGGATAGAACCCCAGACAAAATAACAACAGAAAGCAAACAAGGTGAAGCAATATTATTTGCTTTTACTGAGAACTTGTATCCAAATGTGTGAGCCAGATTGATATGATTACATAGCAGCTCCATCAGGTAAAACCTGCCATTAAGAAAAAAAACAGGGCATTTACTAGAAATTCTATATTTTATCTGCAAAAAAAAATAAACGAATATTCTGAAATGAAAAGAATTCAACCCTATTGCTTTATTGGACAAGAAGTTATGCACCATCATCCATAGAAATGATGCAAAATGTCTCAGTTTTAAAACATTTCATAAACCTATTCTTTACATTTCATAATTCATATTCCTAAATACTTAATTTAATCTTTAACTGGTATCATGCAAATTGTAGATTCAGAATAATTAAGAATATTATTATTTAATATTTATTCATATTTAACTGCTACCCTGAGGCTTGAGAGAATAGATTTGTAACCAGTATTTGTTCTTTGATTTTTTTGGGAAGAGTGTTGTATCATCAGTGAATTCACTTGAATTAATATTTAATATAATCAATTTAACACAGAGATCATATCAAGAAATCTACACCCAAAGCCAAATGATCTCAGCCTGTAAATAATATCATGATTTCTGTTATTTGTCTTCCGTCCCACTCGATGGACGACATCTATCTCTTCGTTCATTTCATTGATCCTCTAGCCTGTACTGGGAAAAATCTACAAAACCTCTTGACCAGCAGGGTCT